GTGAATTGGCTCTCTACTGTCGTCACGTATTGTCTCGCCAACATCAATTCTCTTACTGCCTGTTTCACTCATCAGACGGAATAAATTACGATGTGTACCAACCACAGTGGTTTTTTCCATTTGCGATGCACAACGAGACTACCAAGAGTCGAGGTCACCCTTCAGGCTGGCACACAGTTTTGCCCTGAGTATTTTGCAATACCCCTTGCATTCCTTTCCAGCAGAATACGTCGGCGAGCATCCGTAAGTTCCTGAGACTTTGTAGAGACTAGACGCCTAGGTTGGCAATTTGATTCGTCACGTGAAGATATGCTTGATGACAGCCGACGACAACAGCAGTACATCTGCCATTTGAACTGATGCTTTTGTCCATACAACCATGATGACTTAGGAATAAAGGATACTAAGAGAAGAGAAGGGGAACTTACCTGAAAACCCTAATGCCCTAAGCAAACATTCGAGGTCAAGACGTCTACAGCTTGTGTTAACAGGATACCGTCACAAAAAGCTGGCTATCGTGCAAAGATAAGGCGGCATCGGCGAGGCAGCTTCCTTGCGACTTTCACTGCCCCGTGTCATAAACAACCTTTACGCCGCAGATAACTCAGCCCCAAACACATTTTAAAAAGGAAAGCCAATTAGGAGACTACAGCAGACGCGCCACTGGTGTCGGTTGCGAGCCATATCCTGTAAAGTCTCGAGTCAAGCACAAGGCAGGTCACGTGGACTCCAGCCCGACTGGCGAGACGGACCAACGGCACCCAGTTTGGTCGTCAGTGACTTCATTTCCGGCTGCTAAGTCAACTTCTGTCCACCTCGAGTCTTGCGCCACCCTACACCTGGCAGGCTAAACATTACACCTTTCGGTAAGCGTTGACCGGGCATACGAAATGCGAGCCCAAGCCAACGCAACTTATTCAGTGCTATCCGTTGTCCTAGGGAGTTAGCATGATTATCACTACCTATTCCTCGCCTGCGCACATCCTCGTTACGGTCAGGCTGGTGTCATCCGAAACCAATAATGATTCGAAGAAAACGGTGACCAGAAACTTGAAAGCGTCTCAGCTCTTCAGACCGAAGGGACCAGGTTTCACTAACCGTCCATGTGTCGTATTGAATCCAATGAGTAGGAAGATGTATAGGAGCAGGAGGCCAGCTGAAGTGTTGTTGAAAGCGTTCCACAAAACGAACAATACGGCGTTTCTTATTGTGTATCAGCGCACCCGCGCCGTCTTTGATTGCCTCACTGACTCCTGGTTTCCGTGGACCAGTGGAGCAGAACAGCTGAAAGAGCTTGCGGAAATGGCCTACTGCTGCCTCATCCATTTCTTGATCCCGACCTGTGCACCAGGTTTCCTTGTCAGCACCTTTGCTCCGCTTTAATTCGCGCCTAATAGCTCGCCTGGTTACATCGTGCTCAGAGCCAGCCGGGAGGTTTCTTCTGGATTCAAACAGGTTCAACGATCTCTCGGATATCCAGTGATTGGTGCGGTGACGATCGATGGTGCCACAAGCAGGTGCTCCTGCGTCCAGTATGGCGGCAGAGATCCTGTTCCACTGAAGTTCAGTGTCATTAGGACAAGAGAGCGAATATTTTCTACACAGTGTATCTTGATAAGCTGGCCTGACCGAGGTCTAGGGCGATTTCTCATTTGCCAATTGTAGGAGAGGTTTGGCGCGCCTCCCGGTAGACTTCATGGGGAAACGATAACGTACTAATATATGATCGGAGTAGACGCAATTGCCCAAGTACGAGCGGCAATCTAGAATGGAACCACGCCATCTGTAACTTATAACTATGTGGTCAAGTTGAGTCCATCTCTGGCCAGCTACAGGAGACCGCCAAGTAGCACTTCAGCACCCACTTTGTCGAAAAGCAGTGCAACTGAGAAGCAACTGGTGCATCGCGCCAAGTTGCAACAGACGCCCACTGTTTTCAGTCTTTTCGGATTTGAGTTCATAATTACCAGCTAGCTGAGCATCTGAAGAACACCTATGCTCTACTTGTGCGTTTATATCCCCTGCAATACTATATTACCTGAACTATTGGCACTGCGTAATAGCGCGTTCAATTCGTGACAGAATGAGTGTTTGGCAAAATCAGAACTGCAGTCGGTGGGAGCATAAGCGAAAGTCATAAACAAAAAACGGCTTGCACTACTTCGTGTATCCACCTTAGTTGATGTCTTCAGACGGTCTGTACTCAAACGGATGTTGATTGGAATGCAATCGATCAACAATGCCTCAGTCTTGGCGCTTAGAATGATAACTATACCTGGTTGACCCGTGAGTGTTGCACCGGCGTCTCTGGAGGCGTGCAACCAATAGCGAGAGGACAAGACGGGGGTAGTTAATTCAATAACCCAATTAGGGTCATTGATCCTAGCTTCGGGTACTCAACACCCACAATACCCAGTGTGTCCAAGATGCATGCGAGTGCAGCCTGTTGACCGATTGTTTTGGAGTGCAAAAGTTGGACGCCGCCAGGGAAACGGGACAGCATGGCCTTATAAATGACTGTTGCCGATATGCGTCCGATGGGTGTTTTGGGATGGTGGCTGCGGATGGTTATACTTCACTGGCACTTCGGCTGCTGTCAATTAAGCTGGGAATTATAAAAGAAAGGTTAATAAAGGGGGTCGGGATGGGAGTAAGAGAAACAGGTGAAAAATAAAGAGGCGAGTAGCCAGCAGTGGCATGTTTTCCCTTATCCGCCCTGCTGTATGCAGCAGATAAAGCGACTTTTGATAATTCGCAACCGCCGATGTATGGTTAATTTTGAGCTTGGGAAATTATTTTTGTTTTATATGGGCTTAGATACTGTCAGCGCGTTCAGATATAGACAGGAGGACCAAAACATTTGGTTCAAAAGCTTGTGCGCAAGGTAGCGGGAAGATGGCAATTATTTAGTTTTACCGAATTGCCCGCCATCATATTTCAAACACCCAAGCTGGAAGGCTAACGGACTGAGTTTGTCTGACCGCTAACCAATGACCAATCTGGTAGCTGTAGCTCTCAAGAGGGCCAGTGGCACCACCCAGTATAGCTCAATGGGTGGACGAGATACGTAAACCGTCGCAATACGTCAGGGTCCTGTCTCGTTGCTGATAGCAACGTTTAGGGAACGTGCAACAAGTGCTCTTCAACGGTGTTCAGTGAGCGTTTACTCTGACCGGATGCAAGCATGCTTTGATACCCATTCTGAACACCTGGCTTGGCCAGTATGCTTGGCTGGAATCTCTCAGGTCATATGGTGAGGCACAGTGTCAAATGGAGTAATGCAGCCCTGGCTCTCTGGTCAGCACGGTATTATAAACCAGTAGATAGAACTGATTTGCACTGTTCACTCTATATGCACGAATTACAATATGGCTAATAACGCCAAACTTGACCGGATCAGAAGGTTTTATGATTGTATTTAGGGTAGTGGATTCACACGATATTTCTGCCATTTCTGATTGCGATTCCAAACGGTCATGTTCCCGGCGCCGCAATCCGAAGAACTGATAGTACTCAGCCATAGTCGGCTGAGGTTATTATCTTCAACCTGAGCCAGTAACGCGTCGTTTATCTTCCGTTGCCTATTTCAGTATGTATATAGTTCAATAGTGTATGATGGGATAAAAAGAATAAATTTGGAATACCCACGGGATAGATAGGTACAAGAAAAATCAAATCAAAATGCTCCAATGTGGAACGTAAAATTCCAGTGGTTAAGCCATTGCAATTTAACCAACTGTTGTGCAACGATTCCCATAAATATGAAAGTCTTTCGAATGAAGTGCTGTCTGGTGCTTTCATTACCTGCGTTGCCAGTGCATTCCAGTGGGAGCTGGTTCTAAATGTGAAAAATACTTCCCACAATTCAACCGGGTGTGTTGTGTCATTAGCTTCAGCTGGTTGCCTCAGCAATATTTGTATGGGGTTGGGTCAGCAGTGATATACATTGCTGCTCGCACTCAGTTAGTATGCGGTATGTAAGAATGAGATCGCCGAGAAGCCGTCAGTATACTGAGGTGAACACGCCAAATAAGCGGAGACGCAGTTGCTAACTGAGACCGGATAGTCCACACTCTGCTTTTGTTGCTCTTTTTGACTTGCTTCAATAGGCGGATGTCTCGTTTTAACCATGGACACCATGTCTGAATTGCATATTCAACGTGAGAACCAATATACGATTTAAGTAGAAATGGTAGTAGCCGTCGCTCAAAGGTGCCGAGAGCTCGCCTCAAAATCCTCAAGTTCAAGTTCCCCACACTTACTGTTTTCGAACAAGCGAGTGAATTGCCAGGACTATCATGCACTGTGATACCCAAGTTGCGTCCACTGGTCACGTGTTTCAGGATGTGTCGTCCAAAAAGATAAATGTTGGTGTAAGTAGTTGGCACTTTGCAGGGCTCAGTGAGAGTTGGTTCCTTTCTGCCCATTCGTTAATCCCAGCCAGATCACCCTGAGGCTATATATATATATATATATATATATATATATATATATATATACATGTATATGTATATGTATATGTATGTATGTATATATATATATATATATATAAACTACCAGTTACCTTACAATTGGCCTTGTGTCACAACACATAAAGTTAAACAGCAGTAGGATGAAGGAGAAAACGGCTGTAAGAAAAGATGAGTCTCACAGCAAGTGCGAAATTGCTTACGGTCCATGGCCATATCCAGTTAATTTTGCCAGCAATTTTGCACGCATCCATTGGTCCCCAATCCGGCAGTCAGGAAAACGCCACAACAGCCAGCCTCGAGGTTTTCACCTTAACGCATAGGATCCAGGTTCAAGGCCGGTCCACTGGTCGCCGCTTTCAACTCACACCCGTGCTCGCACTGTGCGCAGAAACGGTAAGGTGAAATAACCACTGAGCAGACTTGCGGAGTCGGCGTTCAAGCCAGCGAAGCTTGTGAATCACATGTTGTATACTTTAATCATCAGTGAAACACCCAGCGTTGGATATTTGGTTGCTTCGTGGCAGCTGTCCTTAATTGATTTGCACTGTTTAAACGGACAAACCATCAGCTGACTACCACACGTGCTGTCAGAACGAATAGGATGGGTTAAGAGAAACTGTTGTTTGCAGCCCGAGTATTGGTTCATCAAAGGAAGCGCTGAGGAAGCTAAGAAATGGAAACGGACCCACTGGTCATCATTCACTCCGAAGGGGTCTCAGCATCATCACACGAGGGAAAAACTTATCGTTTGCCCGAGTGTCAGGGCCCTCCCTTTGACCAAGGGTTGGCGGAGGATGAAGGCTTGAATATAATTTACCAAGGTAAAAAGGCACCAACAGAATTTATACATATCATGGATTGGGGAATTTACCTTCGCCTGTGTTGCCAACTTCGGCATCTCAAAACAACTTATTGCTGTACTGAGAAAGAAGCCCAGCAACTACTCCAAAAGAGACGCAGCTGTAGAAGAAATTGTATCATCAGGCTGATTATTGCTTTTAACCATCTTTATTCGGAGTACAGCAAGGTGGTTGATCTGGCTTCTTGGATTCAAAAAACAACAGCGACTGAAAAGGGAGGAATAACGAAGGTAGCAGCAAAATCAAAGATGGCAGAGAATCATGAACAGTTGAGGGATTTAAGCCCAACGTTTCCTGCAAAAATTCAGGGCGTATCTGAGCATCACAATAACAAATGCCTGAACCGAGGCGATGCAAAGTCCCCGATAATTAGCGCTAAAATTAGGTCTGTAGAACAAAATATATGTCAGCCTAGTGTCCGTCCGCAGGCCGGGGACGACGAGGGGACACATCCATATAATCAGTCAAGTGTGCTTCATACGGCTACGGTGTTCAAAAGCGCTTCTACTTTGTTGGATATCCCCGCCCCGCATTGCTCATATTCGACTCAGGTCGCTCGCAAACAGGTAACGCACTACAGAGATGATACTCATAATCAAGGTCCACATGCTTGCTTCCGTTGGTGTCATCGATCATCCAAGTGCGCTAGTAACAGCATCAAATATCGTCAGCATGCAAAGGAGGCACTTAGACTAGCGAAAGAATTAAATACTTTCAGAAATTTCTCAAATAAACATGGATGCTCGGAGTGCAGAACTAACGAACCCTTCGATTGTATCCAGCGTGAACCGGAAGAAAATACTTTGATGATTTACCAATTGGTGGGTTACCAATATCGAGTAGAACATAAATTAAAACTATCAGAGCACCAATTTTCCTCATTCACACAGCTACCAACACATCCGGCTGACCGTGAGTCTCTGATCAACATTCGCTTACCCCTAGCGCTTGAGTTGGTATTACCTAAAGTGCAACGGCAGATTGAGCAAGTCCTTCGCAGTTGTAACTTTGTCTATGATCCTCTGGAGGTTGCAGCGGAACTCCGGCAGCTGAACTACGATACAGAAGCATGCATATCCTACTTCAACAAAACCCGCTTCTTACGCGAAGTTATACACGAATTTTTACCTAACTGCGTCAAAAGTGGCGCACACAGTGCCTCTGGGAAAACACACAGTAAGTACTATGCTACCCTGTCTCCGGCTGCTAAAGGACTTCCGTCGGATAGCGGTCATAATGTTAAATCCCAACTGGCGGGGTTGAGGGATCAGTTAGCCTTGTTAAGAAAGGCACAACAGGGTGCCAATCGAAGAATCACTCAGCTGCGACAATTCGTATCGGCAATGGGAAAGCACATGGGAAAGGCACTGGAAGAAGCGATTATCCCCTTCATATGCACGTCATCCAGATTGGAAAACCTACTTGGCTCCCACAGAGCCGATCTAACTGTAACTCAACTAAGTAAGCTCGCGCAAGAAAATCGATCGCTAAAACTCACGCTGCGCATGGAAGAGAACCGGCGGAAAACGGTCTTCAACATGATGCAAGAATACCTGGGAAATGTTCGCGTTTATTGTCGCTGCAGAGCAGTGTCCCATTCCGTAAGTTGCCTTGAAACACCATCTATTGATACCGTTTTGCTTAACAACGGCTTAGATACAAACATTGAACAGTTTAAGTTTGATAGGGTATTCGATGTTGGTGCGAGCCAGGCTGAGGTGTACACGGAGCTCGCACCCTCAGTGTGCTCATTTCTAGATGGATACAACGTATGCTTTCTTACGTACGGAGGAGAAGCAAGCGGAAAAACCCATACACTCCTGGGACCTCCCATGACCTCTATCTCGTCATCAACTCAGGGTATTACCCAAAGAGCTCTTCATACTGTCCTGGCTGAGCGCGAGGCTAGACAACATGACCTGGAATATCGGCTAGCTGTTGCTGTCATCGAAGTGTACAATGACACACTTATTGACCTGCTAGCCAATGAGCAAGGTGTGCACATCCACATAGACTCTGGGCTGGAACAGGTCATGGAAGGTTTGGAATCAATGGAAATACACAAGGAATCAGACGTGGAACATCTTGTCACTGTTTGTCAGGCACGTCGACGGACAGGATGTACAGCACTAAACACACAGTCATCCCGGTCGCATCTGATTATATTTGCAAAATTGAATGCCCGAAGTCGCCTACATGAGGCAAAATGGTGCAGCGTTTTGGCACTCTGTGACTTGGCTGGGTTCGAAGACATAATCAAAGCGGATACCTTGAGCGACCCAGTTCTGGCCAAAGAAGCTGGCTACATCAATCGTTCATTAACAGCTTTAAACCGAGTCTTCATGGCTTTGAGAACACAAGAACCTAGCACGGTGTCTTATCGTGATTCCAAGCTGACATATTTGTTAAAACCTTTCTTCGTTCACTCTGGAAAGTGCATTCTCATTGTGACCGTTCGAACAGATCGAGCCAATTTGGCCTCCACTCAGGGTACATTACGATTCGGACGCGAGGCACGAGGGGTCAGCTTGGGTAGACAGCGACGCCAGTTCAACTTAGACAGACTAATTGATGATATGCATGGCAGCGGCTAACACGCCGTTTGGGCATGAACATAAGGACAGAAAGAGGGTACCTTGGGCAAGTCATCGTTTGACTACACATGTGATAAGCAGGAACGTGCCACCCAAACCCGACATTAACAAGTATCCAGTTCATACATGCTATACTGCCTAAAGCGTTCACGCCAATTCGAGTGAACCCATGAAAGCCAACATGCATGCACGAAGTAACCCGTTCACACCTATGAGAATTCCACTGGTGTATGTACGGAGCTGCATCAATAAACTGTTGGCATAAAGCGTTTTTGTAGACATCGCATTTGCTAGTTTACTGAAAATGGTGGGCGCAACGTCGATACCTGCAGCAACAGTATTTTAGTATCCTTGGGTTGAAAATATTAGTACCTTTTGACGTGCATTATGAAAGAAGGGGTAAATGATGCGCAGAAGAACCAACTTGTTTATATCCAGAGTCATACTTTTAATGTAGGCCTACCTGGTTTTTTATTTCAACACCACATATGTAACATGGCCAATAGTACCTTTGGCATAGCACCACAATGTATGGAAAATAAAATAAACATAGGAAGCTGGAGGTTAAAAACGATGTTCATGAGAATAGTGAGTTTCAACAACTCTGCCATTGTGTACGATATCTTGCTATATCCGAGAGCAGTGTGTCCCGGATCCTTCGCAATCCAGACAGGGAGACGAAAGCGCCTGACCCCTGCTAAATTGGACTTTAGTTCCTTCATGCTCCTGGCCCAAGTCATACTTTGTTCACCTTTCTTTCGCTTCCAGCCTACTTCTGCGTGCATGAAGAGGGCATGGCGAAGGAAGCGGTAAGTAGACAAGCTAAGAATTTGCCCAAGCCACTGAAGTCTGCGCAGCGAAATTATACTACTCCGTGACCGGCAAAGTCAGTCTGATCTCGAAGTCTGCCGTCGAATATCTTCATTCCTAGTGTAGTATTGCCGTAGTACACCAGCAATGCTTCTAAGGCAACAGTGCTCAAAAACAGACAGCCTCTCAGCATCCATTGCCCGGACAGGTCACCTCTCAGCCATAGAGGAGAACCGCTCTCACTATGGCTTAGTAAAATCAGCACTTCAGAGATAGACTCAGATCACCTCGACGTCAGAGATGGCGCACATGGTCAGAAACAACCCGAGCCTTTGAGACGCGCAAAGGGACCTCATCCGTTAAACCTTTAACGCTGAGGAAGCTTCTGTGGTAAACGGACTTGTCCACCACCTCCAATGAATGACTTACAAGGGTAAGATTACGAACAGCGTCTAGCTAGTCCCGCAGGAACACATTGCGTTTCGATGGTGCGCACGTCATTCCAAACTGGTGGACAGACATCTCCAACCAACAGAGAATATTCTGGGCGGCTTATGAGGAAGCGCAGATTACCGCGATGTCGCCTGCATGCTCCAAATCCCGAAGTCAGTCCCACGGAACCACCTAGAGGCTGCTGAGTTCGCAGTTCTCCAGTGCAGTCTCCAATGTTTCGTCTATAGCGAAATTGTAAAAGAAGGGGATGTTGGGGCTCCTGGTCTCAAACCGCTGTTGAGAACAAAGGAGGCGGAAGTCTGCCGTACACCCCCACTCGGCCCGAAGTTCGATAGCAGGTGGCTCAAAGTAAGATGAATTATTTTACGGGCTCTACCCTTCTCAGTAAACAGCTCTATTGGGCAGATCTGTCGACTGAGTCAAACGCGGCTCGTATGTCGAAGAAGACAACGATCGTTGGCTGGGCAAATGTTTGACGAGGCTCGAGTACTTGGCGCAGTGCAAAGCTGTGCTCGATGCAACGCCGACCTGAGCGGAACCCAGCTTGCTTTTCACGTATGCTCTGTTCGCGTACCAGGCTGAGCCTCCTAAGAAGCAGCGCTGCGAGCACTTTTGGAGCAACCAAGATGAGACTAATCCTTCTGTGCTTGGTGTGCTTTTTGAAGACGGGCACGATATACGTTAGGCTCTAATCAGATGGGATGACTTTATTGACCCAGATCTCTTGGAAGAGAGAAGTTAAGTCCTGGACAACTGATTTGCCGCCATCTTTGAAAGAACTGGAAGGAGTTTATCTGGGTCAGCGGCTTTGTAGCTTTTAAAGAGGCGAAGCTCTTTGGCAACCTCCGTCAGGGAGCGCGCTGGGCTCCGGAATGGGAACTCATTGGTGCGTCTGGGCAAATAAAGTACTGCTCAAATTGTTCAGCTTAACGCTAGAGTCGGCGTTTTTGACAGTGGATTTTCTCGCCATTGGTTTCGCGTTAAACGGCGCTTACATTCGACCTTTTGCCGCCAGTAGATGGGATCAGGATGTAAACCTTGCGGGAATTCCTCTAGTTGGCCGCTTGCTCCATCTCAATGACCCGCCGTGTCCACCAGACTTTACCATCTTCCCTACCTGTGTTATCACTAAAATATTTGCACCATGTTATGTACAGCCATAACTTTTATCTCAATGTTGACATTGTTTTGTTTGACAACTGTCTCCGGCTGTGTGCATGGTAACAGGTGTCACAACTTATATCCAACGAAGCCTGACTGTTTCACGCTTTATAGTACTTTGTTATTCTTTTATAGCTATCCGGGTGTTTACTCCATTTATTACTGAACTCCTACTAATGCTCTTCCGTGAATTATCAACGCTTGATCGACTTTAGAAATTCATACTCCTGTTGATGGGAACTAACTTGGGTTTAAGTAATAAATTAATTTTCTGCATCGTAAATTACTAGGAGGCATCTGGGATGGGAATAGACTACTCTAGACTGTGAATAGAAATGAAAAAGTGGTATATTCGTCGGCGGTGTGAGGCACCGTCCAGCTAGGTGGTCTGGTCAATATGTACAGTAAGATCGCACAAAGTGAATAATTTTTCATGCATTATGTGGTGGATAAATAAACGGATTTTAAAGTAATTGTCTTATTTAAGTTATTAGAGTAATTGAGAAATTGGAACAACAATAAATACAGATTTAAACAAATTTTCGGGTAAAGTAATAGGGCTACCCGTGGAACCGTCCCCAGTAGACCAGGTCCAGTGCAGGATATCCCTCGAAAGCTTTCGCTGTCCTTGGCGGTTTGCCGGCGTGGCAGTGTAGTAGGTAAGCCTTCACCTGTTTAACACATGCAGTGTTCTTATTCAAACTGATTTAATGCATAAATTATGGGCGATTAAGCCTCAGCCCGGTCCATCCTGCGGATCACTCATTAATGGCACTTATTTTATACACCAGTCAGTCGGTGGTAATACACAATGCATGGGCATGACTTTTTATAGTATGTAAGCTTCAATGCGTCATCTAAGCTGATCAGCCTAGTCTTCGGTAACAATGAAAGATGGAAGGTAAAATAAGAAAAATTAAATGCATTTAGTATAATACCGTTAATGCCAAAAATAAGCAGATAACATATTTTACAACAGAGCAAAATGGATCAAACAGATCATGCAATCAAATTGTGCTGCGTGACAGCCGAAGACAATTATCTGCACGAAGAGTCCATAGGCATCAAGGTGCTAAAACGAATTTTTGAAGTTATTCTTAGTGGCAGACAGTAGGGAAACTGATATCGCCAAACATTGAAACCAGGTTTGTGCTTCCAAACGGTTAACTCTGGAAAAGAAGGGGAAGTATTTAGCATTACAGAACCAGTGTAGAGAAGAGAATCGCCGAACAAATAGTATGCCTTAGTTAAGTTGAGTGGGATTACGAACATAGTTCCTATCCCCATACCAGTGAATAATTTTGCTCTTGGTTTTAGCTCGGAATAGAGTTGGTGGGAATTAAGTCTGAGTTAGTAAGACCCCATAAGAGCTTGCTTGTGACCTTGAGCGAACTTGCGTGGAAATGGTTTAATTGTGTAATCGTGCTGTTTTCACTTGCGGCACCAAAGCGGAGATTGCGGCACAATAGCGGAGGTGTTTTCTCATCTCTAGTTGAGGTGTATAATGATATAATGATGGTGCTGTTTTCACTGTGACAGCGACATTTTGTCGGACACATTTGGATCTATACTTATCCGTCGTGCGCTTAAAAGCTCCACCTTGTGATACAATTTTCTTGAGTACACTAGCGCATTCTATATTTACCCTGAATTCTAAATGTCGGTTAGTATTTCGCCGATATCCAAGCGCTACATGTTACATAAATCCAACCATCGGAGACATTGTTTGGTCTTCCTCTACAGACCATTCTAAAGGCTATCGGACGAACTCTCATACAAATTCAACTGCTTAGAACCGCTACAGTTCTCGAGCCAAATTCACCTAGCGAGATACATAGGCTAAACCACAAAAATTCTCAATCACACCTTAGTGTAATCTGCCCCTTGTTCAAGCTAACATCCGACTGGCACGTCAAAGAAAAGTCTACGAGCACACAGCTGCAGCGTGAACGCTGTGACCTTGTCGACAAGGTCAGAAACAGAAACTCTGTTTACCGTAGTGGGTGAGTCATTCAAATGTTTCGTAACATTTCCTCACCAAGCGCGATGCCCAGGGTGCCACATATTAAATACCTTTGTGGATCATGTTCCAAACTTGTTAAGGGGGGCATTTTGTGCCGTAACTGTTGTAAGTTCTTCAATGCGAGATACCTCCGATTTAAACCTAGTCCGGAAAAATGATTAAGCAAACCGGATTCTCTATGGCTTTACGTGGAGTGCACATATATCCTACTGATAACAAGCGTGCTCCTATTATCTCAGAACTACGAACAGCTATTAGCCAAGTTTGGGGAAATATTGACTACCAAAATCACTAATGTTTGGGTAAGCGTGGTAGACTGTGGAACCCAATCCTCCCACACCGAGAACCCAGAAAATTAGCTGCTGTTCCAATGCCACATCTGGTTCACATTTGACTAATGCGGTGCCCAATTCGATCGGAGTAACTACACGGAAGGTTACTTTCCATCTCCCGACGGAGCGCGTAGAAAGTGAGCAAGCCGGTAGTAGCGAAAGTTGAGTTACGGTTGCTTTCAAGAAAAGCTGTCATTTAAACTTAACATCAGTCTCAACTAGATCGGAAACTGAGGGGCGTAGGGGAGATTTTCTGGTGTAAACACCACCGGTTTCCTGCGATACAACTCCTAGTATTTCAATCATTAAACGCGACATGTCGAGAGATGTAAGCAAACAACTACATGGCCTGATCGTACAGTACTCTAATATCCCAGAATCAAAGTCGACATCAATAAGAGGCAAGCAGTTGGATGAGCTCCACCAGTGGGACATTATTAGTAACCTAATCGGAGTTGTACTGAAACCTGTACACTTGGTGAGTATTACGCCACACCCCGACTCTAACATTACGGAGAGGCAAGACTTCTGCGCGTTATTCTGAACTCCATCACTGAAGTAGAATCAGTACTACTGTCGACAGGTAGTCCCAGATATGAACAGTGCTCCATCCGGATCTTTCTAGACATTCCGTGGTGCGAGCGTTATCTAGTTAGCAGCACCTTATAAGACTACTGGAAGGAAACTTCAATCAGAAACATTCTACTTCATGGGTTCCTGAAAATGAAGCATGTGAGGAGCATGAAGTAACAACCCATGATCAAGGACAGTTGTGTTATATTCGTAAAAACTCTGCTTGGATGATGTGTTAGCGTAATCTGTGTCACGATTGCGTACCTCACCGAACTACAAAGGAAGTGGCCCGAGAGTGCTGAAGGTGGTTCTATAGTCAAAACGTATGGTAGCACGGCTACTGAAAAGCCGATATACCTTCCGTTGTATGTTACCATCTGATCTTCGGTTGAAGACAGTCAGCGATATGCCTACTAGAGACCATATGTCACTCAAAGATCCAAACGCGATGGGTCCGATAAAAAATGCACAAGTAATGTGTCTAGTGAGCCCATACAACCTGTGGTAGATGCTATTGACCAGACACCGTACACTGTACGTAGAAGGTTAGGCCCAGGGCTAAATATGCGGACGATGAATAAGACGTTGAACCCTTCTCCAAGTTCAACACACTGGTCAGCGAAACTTCACGTATGAGTTTTGCAACCTCCGAAACATTGCTTATATCGGAAAAGCTTTCATATTTGTATACTAACGCCTAACGGTTCATAAGCAAACTTACAGAACTTCGGCTACCTCAAGTTAAGAATGCTTAGGACCTAATTTCTTCTACCGAAATATGGTTGCACCAAGCAGTGGTTGATGCTGTTTGAGATAGCAGGAATGTCACACATCCGGAACGACCACCTCAGCAGAGAACGTGGGAGCATAGTATTCTACGGCAGCGAACTGCAATGAGCAGTAGCTGATGAGCTGGAAACTCACATTATCGACTCACACTGTTGCCGTCTCCGACTAAGACACTACAACGCATGTCTGATAGATAACTAATACCACCCCCAAACGTCCACTCTGGAAATGAATTCCCGCTTGATACGTGTCCTGAACATAGTAACACGCTCTAGCTACAGCCACATTCTCATCTCCGGATACTTTAATCTACAAGATATTGAGATATAGGCATCACCAAGTAAAAAGTTCAAAGAATAATTGCATGAACTGATTGCTAATACTCCTTCGTAAAAGCATGTCAACACGTCCACTAGACTCAGGACAGCAAACAAACCGTCCATATTGGACTTTGTGCTCACGAATGAAGAGCGCATGTTTGACAAGGTATTGCTGGATAGTACATTAGGACTCAGTGACCATGTGCTGATAAGGTTTAACCAAGTGTTATGCAGAGTATCCATCAGAACACTCGGAACCAAATTACACAATCACACGCTACCACGTCTTGAAGGAACTCGTCGAGGCATCCGCTTGAGTATTCTCGAACAACAATCCACTTGCAAACGTTTGGACAGAGTTTTCGAAAGACACAGCGATATCCTCAACAGAGAATCAGAGACTAAGTCCCTTCGTTTCGTAAAAAGGCCTTCATTGCTAAAAAGCAGGAATCAAGAAGGCATGGCGATAAGGGATGCAGCAGGACGTTCCTAAAAGATGAACCTAGACCCAGATAATTAAAGCAATTTCCCTAGTCTTCGCAACTATTTTACTGCACTTATCCGTGAGAACAAAGTAGAATATCAGCAGTGCCTGGTCAAAAAATACCTGGCAAACAACGAAATGCCGTATATGCAGTGCAACAATCTTCGTGAGTTGAAACTTGACACCCCTCTACTTTTCACGACAGGCAGTAGAGTACGAAGCACTAAAGAAGCAGATAATACTCTACGACTATAAAACTCCCTAAATTTCGAACATGCAGCCTCTACCTGTCCCATAATATCATGCACATTAACGACTCCATTGTGTACACATGTAACTTTCAATCCATCAATTATACTAAGGAAGTTACTCTCACTGCGCGATCATAACTCGCCCGGAGCCGAGAACATCCGTCCGAAAAAATTGAAGGCTGCGGCCACAAAACTAGCTGAACCACTGTTCTTTCAAAGATGCTTTGCTGAACAAAAGGTTCCCATTAGATGGAAGCATGAGATCATCACCCCAACTTTTAAAGGTGGTAGCTCTTTAGATCCTGCAAACTATCGCCCAGTGACTTTCTTCCCTGCGC